CCCCAGCCTGTGTGGGAGCAGCGGCGTGGATTGTTTCCTGGGGGAGAAGCAGAAATCGGACGGACGGACGGAAGAGAACTCAGGGGAGCTCCTCAAAGCCCAGGCTCCCCAGGCACGGGGCACAGCCCTGCCCCTAGAGGCCCAGTGAGAGCCTCTAGTCTCTGGAATGAGCACACCTCCCAGTCTCGGGATCAGCCAGGTGCTCCGGGTTGGCAGGTAGCCTTCCATGGGGCTGTTCAGGGATATCCGGGCTCCCCCATCTTCACCAGAAAGATTCCACAGTCTCCGTGCAGTGGGAAGGGGAGGGTGGGGAAGGCACGGGGGCTGTCCTACCCCATCAGGCCCTGGGTGACACACTGACTTACAGTCACGTTGTCTGTGATATGGAGCCTTAGGGCCACACCTTGCTGCAAGGGAGGCTGGCCATGGGACGTACCTAGGAGAAGCCTGTGGCCATCTCTGGTAGCATAGTGGTTACGGGTTGGGCTGCTAACCACAAGGTCAGCAGTTTGAAGCCACCAACCGCTCCAAAGGAAGGAAAATGAGCTTTCTACTCCCATAAAAATGAGCTTTCTACTCCCATAAAAATGAGCTTTCTACTCCCATAAAAATGAGCTTTCTACTCCCATAAAAGAGTGACCGTCTCGGACCGGCAGGGGCAGTTCTGCCCTGTCCTTTAGGGGTCGCTTTGAGTCGACTTGAAGGTGGTGAGTGTTTGAGGCTGGGGTGGGCTCGTGTTCATGGGGCCACAAGGTGGTTATGAGACAGTAAATACCAGGCCCCCGTCCTATAATGTTAATTGGATAACATGTACCCGGGGTGGGGGGGGCTTTCTTATTAACCAGGGGAGTAACTGCGGTGCCTGTTCTCCACCGTACAACTAGGTGATGGGGGGCTGGACCTACATGAGCGCTTCTTACTGCGGCCAAGCACCTATCCATTGTTGGAGGTCTTCAGTCTCCAGATCAGAGGAGGAGGAGGAGAAGGTGGAGGAGGGAGGCAGGGAGACCCGTCTGTGGACATGTTGGAAACCCTCTCCGCTGTTGTTGGGGGCATCCATGAACTTGGTTCTGACCTCTGGCAACACAGTGTGCAACAGAGGGGAACGCCGCCCGCCCGGTCCCGCGCCAGCCTCACAATCAGTCTTACGTACGAGCCCGTTGGTAGTCACTGTGCCAATCCATCTCGCCGAGGGCCTTCCTCTTTGGCGCTGCCCCCTCTGCTTTACCAAACCGGGCATCCTTCTCGGGGACTGGCCTCTCCTGACAACATTTACAAAGAACAGGAGAAGTCGTCTTTCATCATTGCCGCTAAGGAGCACTCTGGCCGTAATGCTTCCGAGACAGACCTGTTGGTCCTTTAAGCAGTCCGTGGTTCTTTGACTATTGTTCTCTAGCACCTTACTTCCAATGCATCGGTTCTTCTTCGATCTTCCTCATTCACTGTCCAACTTTCACATGCATGTAAGACGATTGAAAATATCATGATTGGGTAAGTGGACCTTGGTCCTCAAAGTAACCTTAATGTTCAACACTCTAACGAGGTCTTGGGTAGCAGATGTACCCAGTGCAGTGCGCGATTTGATCTCTTGACGGCTGCTTCCAGGTCATCTCTGAGGCTTCCTTGACTACTTCTGTTGCTGCCGAGAGGAGCTGGGGTAGCGCAGTGATTACGTACTGGGCTGCAGTCCTCAAAGTAAGCAGTTTGAAACCACCGGCCTCTCTGAGGGAGAAAGACAGAACTTTCTACTCTCGTAAAGAGGGACAATCTCAGAAACTCACAGGGTCAGTTCTACCCTGTCCTACAGGGTGGCTGTGAGTTGGCATGGACTCGATGGCCCTGAGTTTGGTTTTTGTCACTAGATGTCTGCCACTCAGACCTTGTGATCCATACACTTGGCACCGGTTGATCGTTTTTGGAAATCGGTACCCAGCCTTTCTTATGTTTCTCAGGAAACCCCGCTGAAATGCATTTCGAATCATAGCAGTGTGCAGCAGGCCTCTGCGGACAGATGGTCAGTGGCCACACTTGAAGCATGCTGGGTGGAAATCTAACCCGGGTCTCCTACGTGGGAGGCAAAAATTCTAGCCCTGGACCACCACTAATGGGGAAGAAAAGCGCACATCTCTCAGCAGTATCACACTACCAAGCTGGATGGAACCACTCTGAGATAAATGTCAAAGTGGTGAACATAGGCCCAACCGAGTGCACGTGCACGCGCACGCACACGCACGCATAAACCATAGCAACCGAGTTCAGAGGAAAACAAACCCCTGCCACCCATCCACGCTCCATCAGGCGAACCCCCGCCCTGCATCGCGTGCCATTACCAAGCTCCATTTTAATTCCTCCTGTTGTATTAAGAGAAATGACTTGTATCGACCAGCAATATAACCCAGGCATTTAGGGGTCCTCGCGATTGCGGTGCTTAAATTGAGATATGTCTGCGGGTCCATATTTGTAAATCCCATTTCTGAGAAACAGTAATAAGTAAAGCAGAAGATTGAAATTGAATTTTTGTAAGAGAACTTTAGCAGGAAAGCTATTATGCATCCGTCCAATTTAGTGGAAAGAATGTACATTTAAACGGGACAGAGCCAGCTTACCACTCTGGGGGCCGGGGAGCAGGGGTGGACCCTGAGAGCCAAGTCCAGCTCTGGGGCTCTGCCTTTCCGCCTGAGGGGCCAGACTTGTTTTCCCTAAAGGACTGTGAGCTAGTGGTCGTCTGCACCACCCGGCACCCCATCAGGGCTCCCCAGCCCTCCCCAGCCTAACCAAACCCGCTGCCACCAAGTCAGTACCAACTCACAGACACCCGCTAGGGCAAGGCGGCCCTGTCCCAGTGGGTTTCCAAGATGATAGCTCTTTACAGGATCAGACAGCCTCGTCTTTCTCCCGTGGGTCAGTTGGTGGGTTCGAACCACTGACTGCATAGCCCACTGTGCCAGCCGGGCCCCTGCTCCACCCTGAACACACTGCCCTCACTGCCTTTGAGTCAATGCTGACTCCTAGTGAGCCTCTAGGACAGGGTGGACCTGCTTGTGTGGGCTTCGGAGACTCGCTGTACGAGAGTGGAAAGCCTTCTCTTCCCCACAGGGAGAGGTGATGGTTTCCGATCTGACCTTGTGACTAGCACAACAGCGCATGACCATCAGGGCTCCCGAATCAACTCCAAAATTGATTCCCGCCCTCTGTAAGTTTTCCTTCAACCCCCCCACCCCCCATTGGTGACCACTTGATTCTGACTCACGGCCACTCTAATAAACTCACTCACTGTCGTGGGGTCGATTCTGACCCCTGGCAGCCCTAGAGGACAGGGTGGGAGTGTTTCTATGGGCTTCTGAGACTGTCACCTTCGTGGGAGTAGAAAGCCTCATGTTCCTCCCAAGGAGCAGGAGGTGGTTAGGAACTGCTGATCTCACAGCCTGAAACCCAGTGGGTAACCACGGCTCTGCGGGGCTTCTTCACCAGCGCCAGGGAAGTCTACATTCCAGGCCACTGAGTAGTGAGAGGGGGACCCAGTTCCTGGGCTGAGGTTGTTCCCGGGGGCCCGAGACTCCAAGCCTGGCCTGCGTTCACCCCCACACCCACGCTGTGTGACGTGAAGAGATGGTTCTTGATCTCGGAGCTGCCTGCGGGTGGGTCTTTCCGGCTTGGCTTGCAGCAGCGGCAGCATTCCAGGGACGTCCCCTTCTGTCTCGGCAAAGATGTGCTGGGGAAGGGGCTGGGTGGGGGCTTACAACGCCAGTCTCTGGCCACTGCGGGTGGCTGCACAGTCAGCCTCCGCTGGCTGGCAGGCATGCTAAGGATGCAGTCCCAGCCCGGGGGGCCTGGCGATATGACAAACTTCCGAGCCAGCAACCAGGGAGCGTGGAAGCCAGACGCACAGCCATGGAGTTGGCTCCAATTCATAGGCAGAGTGGAACGGCCCCTGTGGGGGTTCTGAGATGGTTGAGCTTTATGGGAGCAGAAAGCCTCCTCTTTCTCCCTTGGAGCGACTTGGGGGTATAAACGGCTGACCTTGGGGTTGGTGGCACAACGAGGAACCCACATTGCCACCAGGGCTCCTGCCAGCCACGGGAAGCACCTAGCCAATGCTGGACCCTCAGGCTGGGAGGGCGCTCTGGGTTTGCTGGGCCACTCCCCACAGGGGTGGCCCGTTATTAGGTGCCTCAGAAGAAAGGCCTGGCGACCCACTTCTCAAAGGTGAAAGTGCAGCCACCCCTGTGGAGTACAGGTCCCCCGGCACACCTGAGAACATCATGCGTGGGAATCGACTGGGTAGCAGTCAGCTTGAACTAGACCCCACTGCAGAAACCACCTGATGCCGAGGACTGTGGGCACCAGCCTGTATTTCATCACTTCTTGCTCACGCTAACTCTGCAGAGCCACAGCCCTTGGGACCCAGGGCTGGGGTGGGGTGAGGCCGGGACGCTCTGGGCGTTGCTCCAGGAGGCTGACCAGGTCCTTGTGTCCTCAGGTGTGGCTCTGCGGGGGCAGCATGGAGGTCCTGCCATGCTCGCGGGTGGCCCACATCGAGCGGAAGAAGAAGCCTTACAACAGCAACATCGGCTTCTACACCAAGAGGAACGCGCTCCGCGTGGCTGAGGTGTGGATGGACGACTACAAGTCCCACGTGTACATAGCCTGGAACCTGCCCCTGGAGGTGAGGCCTGCTCCCACCCACCCCTCACCACCCAGAGTGGGCCTGGCTGTGTGTAATCAGGGGAGGGGGGCTCTCCTTAGCCAGACACTCATACCCCCCAGCACGGGAGTGGCTAGAGAAATAGGACCAGAGACCTATACAGGAGGGAGTTTCAGAAAGCCTGTGGGAGAATCCCATTATCCTGCCATTCCAGGAACTTTTTAAATCTCCACCCCACCCCCACCCCCCCACCCCCGTGGGTGTAGGACCCCTGGTGGTTACACGTTGAACTGCTCAAGCCGAGGCCAGCAGTTCGAAGCCATCAGCCTCTCTGGGAGAAAGATGGGGCTTTCTTCTCTCGGACAGATCAGTAGCCTAGGAAACTCACTGGGCCATTCAGTCCTGGCCTCTAGGCTCACTGTGAGTCGCAGTTGACTCCAGGGCAGTGAGTCTGGCTTTGAATGTGGCTGCCAATCACAATATCTGTGGTTCCCACCCACCACCTGCTCCACAGGAGAAAGATGGTGGTCTCTGCTCCCGTAAAGACTTACAGCCTCGGAACCACAGGGACAGTTCCCACTCTGTTCATGAGGGTTGCCACAAGTCGGGATTGACTCAGTGGCAGTGAGTTTGAGTGGCAAGCCCTCCGCTGCTAGCTGAAAGGTTGCCAGTTCAAACCCACCGACTGGCTCCATGGGAGAGAGCTCTGGCCTCTGTTCCCGCAAAGCAGCGGGCGGCCACATGCTATGGGGCAGTTCTGTCGCATGCACAGGGCCCCGTGGGTCAGAACCCACCCGGTAGCACTCACCACAACCTTATTAAGAGTAAAAACAGGTACGAAACCCAAACCAAGGCCTCCCAATCCATCCTGGCTCAGGGCGGGCTCAGGGCGTATTAAAAACCTTGTTACAATCGCCTCAGCCGGTTTGCCTTCGAAAGATTAGAATGTTTGCCATTGGAAAGAGGGTTATCCTCTGAGAACCCGGTGTGAAGGCCCCAAATGTAATGAGATGATGTGAACTCTTCTGGCAAACACCGCCTGGTTCCAGAGAGAACTCTGCTTCCACCATACATAAACACACACAGACACACACACACACAGCTCACGAATCCCCCAGCCTTCTGGTGGCTAAGCCTGTGCAGTCACCACTCAGCATCTTCATGTCCCCCGGCAGCACCCGGCGGCCCATTACAGGTTCATTTCTGTACAAGCAGAGTGAATTATTCATTAGAACATCATTACAAGCTTTGCAATGGAAAATTATTTTCACTTCTGCATATAATGAACTTCACCGAGAGCCCACAAAGAGAGATCGTGCCCGCGGGGGGTGGGAGGGGAGGGAGGCGAAGGCGGTGGGCGGTGATAAGCACCTATTTTCTTGTCTTAATCAAATAAGCCCTCTGATAATTGGCTTTGGGCTGTTACTGTGGGAAGTCGGGAGACGTCGCCTGGTGATGAGGTGGACAGTCGCCGCCAACTGGGGACTCTGCAGAAGGGGAGGGCTCGAAGCTGCAACCAGGAACAGCTTGCTCAGGCCCCACTCTGGACAGTGCTAGTTCCTCTGGCCAATCAGCTCCTGATGACTTGGGTACAAGACGATGGGGCACTGCCCGGTCCTGTGGTTTCCTCAAGGTACACCAGCCTGTGGTGGTGGTCACTGTGTTGTCCATGCCCCTTCCAGCCTGGGGGCCTGGTCTTCCAGCAGGACCCTGTCCTGTGGTCATCTGTGGGTTTTCACGAGCGAATTCTTGGAAGACCTCCAGGCCTTTCCTCCTAGTCTATCTGTCCACCGTGGGTGCCCCTTCTGGCATATGAAATCCTGCTGGCAGAGCTTCCAACAGCCTGGCCGCTTGCAAGGCACACAGTGGGATGCACACTGACAGTGGGGCTGGGGGTAGGACTGAAATAACACGATTGAGTGGCCACTGTCATCTGGCGTCCAGGGCGCTTAACCATGTGCCCCAGGCCTTACTAGTGACTGAGCTAGATGTGAAAGAAACCAGGTTCTTGATGCTCAGGTGACCAGGGTTTTTTTAAATATTCATTTTGGTGAAGTTATGTGCCTTGGAGTCAAACCAGACCGGGAGGGGCGGGGCAAAAACTGCCACCAAGCTGATTCTGGCTCACAGCAACCCCACAGGACAGAATAGAACTGCCCCTGCAACATTTCCAAACTGTCCATCTTTCCCCTTACCCAGATGGAACAAGTCCATTGAGCGTAGGAGCCTGGTGGCCCAGTGAGTTCAGCATGGGCTGCTAACAGAGAGGGTGATGGTTCGGACGGGTCTGCGGGAGACAGATGAGCCGGTCTGCTCTGGAAAGATTGGCAGCCTCAAAAGCTCCATGGTGCAGCTCTGCCCTGTCCCAGGGGTCACTACGGGTCGGCATCAGCTTGACAGCAGTGTGTTTAAACCAAGACACGTTCTGAGACTGTTCATCTTTGCGGGACCAGGAAACCTCGTCTTTCTCCCCACGGAGTGGCTGGTGGTTTTGAACTGCTGACCTTGTCATGTGTAACCCACTACATTAGCAGAGGAGGGTGAGTAAGACTATCAGGGTGGAAGCCTTGGAACAGTGGTGGTCACTGGATGTTCTGGCTCAGTGACCACCCTGGGTGACCCCGCTGGGCTGAGAAGTGCTGGTGCCATGGCGACCAGCATCCTAGCCCTGCATCGCACCCCATAGGAGCACAGCCCTATAGGCAGGGGCTGCAGAGGAGATGAGGCACCCCTTGTGCAAACTGCCGGTCCTCCCTGAAGGGGCTCTCCCTGCCCCCTCTGCCCATAAACCCACAGCCACTTATACCCCCTCTGCTTCTCTCTGCTTCCAGAACCCGGGCATCGATATCGGCGACGTCTCCGAGAGGCGGGCGTTGAGGACGAGCCTAAAGTGTAAGAACTTCCAGTGGTACCTGGACCACGTGTACCCAGAAATGAGGAGATACAACAACACCATTGCCTACGGGGAGGTAACTGAGACGGGCCTGGGCCTGCTCCCCTCTGGGGGCTGGGACGCAGAGCGGGGGAGCCAGGCCACGGAGGCCTGCCTTCATTTGGAAGAGAGCACTTGGGGCTGGGGCAGCGGCGAGGGCCCTCGGAACCGGAAGTATCTCACTGCTCTCGAGTCGATTCTGAGTCATAGCGACCCTGCTTCTGTGGGTTGCCACTCTCTATGGGAGTGGAACGCCTCATCTTTCTCCCGGGTAGTGGCAGCTGGTTTCAGAGTGCTGACCTTACAGTTAGCAACACTGTGAGCGGCCCAGCGCGTCATCCGGTACACCGCCTGCGCTCCTGAAGTTGAATCTGTCGTGGCACAGATGGTTAAGACCCCGGCAAAATGGGTTGACACCGTGGCTGCAACAGGGGACTTAAATATAAGGAACGATGGTGCGGATGGCGCAGGGCCGGGCAGTGTTCCCTTCTGTTGTGCACGGGGTCGCCGTGGCTCAGCACCGACTCACAACAGCAGCATAGTTTCAGCCCTAGTGGCGCAGGTCGCTCAGCATTGGACTGCTAACCAAAAAGCCAATAGGGCAAACTTGTGTATGTGTCTGTACATAGGAGCCCTGGTGCTGTAGTGGTTGTGCATCGGGCTGCAATCCTCGTGGCCAGCAGTTCAAAACTACCAGCAGCTCTAAGGGAGAAAGACTTGGCTTTCTACTCCCTGTCCATAGTTGCAGGCTCTGAGACCCACAGGGGCGGCTGTGAGTCCTCATTGACTCGATGGTGCTGAGTCTGTATATATATATATATACACATCTCCCCGGCAGACTGCTTCCATAATGACCAGAGCCTTGGAAGACATAGGGGAGGATTCTCTCTGCTGTCAAGTGCCTGTGTCTGGCCCTGTCCTACTGTCTGACAGGCTGGGTAGCCCTCGGCAACGCATGCATGTCTCCAAGTCCCTACACTGGAAGAACAGTCCACCTACACCAAGGAAGGTGAAGCCAACATGAACCCATCCCTGGAAAACACTTAGGGTCGTCCCTGGAAGTGGTGGCTATAAGGAACACAGGGTTACAGACCACACCGGTGATGTGTTTGCAGAGGGTGACACCGAAATGACTCTCTGGGAAATTCTCCCACAGGGTTTCAAGAGAAGCAGATGACGGATTCCCTAACATGGTCCCGGCAGCCAGTGAGAACAGCTCGCTCAGCATACACACTCCCATGAGGCTATGACCCTGAGCTCCCTCCGTGGGTGCCACCTCCCCACCCCCACCCCGCGCTCTGGTCCCCGCTGTCACTGTTGCCTCGTCTCTGCCAGTAGGCTCGTGGTCTCTGGTTCTGACATGTCCTCAGCTGTTTTAGCTGCACCAGCATGTGGATAAGGGGCCCTGGCCATACAGTGGTTGGGCTGCTAACTACAAGGTCAGCAGTTCGAAACCACCAGCCGATCCGCAGGAGAAAGATGGGGCTCTCTACTCCCATGATCGGTTCCAGTCTTGGAAATCCACAGGGGCCCTTCTGCCCTGTCCCATAAGGTCCTGATGAGTCGGCATCAGCTCGGTGGCAGTGAGTTGGGCTTTGGTTTGTCGTGTGTCATGTCTGTGAACTGGCGTCCAGAGCTGTTTGGAAAAAAAGTAGGAATTCAAGGAAAAGGAAGAGGAGGAAACTTTTCACAAGGGCTTCTGATCAGCACCTCACAGTGCTGCGGTCGATAACGTCAGTCAACGCAGAAAGTTTGCGGAACGGCTTTGTATGGATGTACACACAGGCTGAGAAGTGCAGCCTTTCAGCGGCTGACAGCTACGCCGGTCTCCTAGGTGAAATGATAACATGGTAGTGGGACTAACAGTGCTGTATGTCTGGTATGGGAGGAGTCCTTTAGGGGGCACTAGGAGCTGCCCCACGGGGTGATGCCAGCCCTGGTGCCTGGTACAATGAAAGCGTCCTATAAATGCTTGGGGACGTTCTTAGAGCCAGCATTTTCTGAAATTACTGCCTATAGGATTTGTAATCAATTTGCGTGGATGCTTTACTAGCAGATGTTATCTCAGCACAGCAAACGGGACGAGAACACATGAGATTGCTAGGCTAGAAGCTGGCTCTCAGCCCTGGGTCCCTCGAGGTGCTTTGGAAGAAATCAGTCCTGAACTCAGACTGTACCCACCCTCCCACAGCCCCTGCTGGCTCGTTGGGGCCCCGCGGTCTCTGCCCTCAGAGCCGCGGGTGGGCTTGAACCGCCCACCTTTCAGGTAGCTCCACCAGCACTTAGCACCCTGCGCCACGAGGGACCTGTGTCCGTCAGATCAGAGTCTGTCCTGTTATTTCAGGTTATCAAAGCAAGACAAAGCCCCCTGGGAAGACACACAGTTACGCCCTCAAAAAACAGAAACATGGCCATTGAGTCAATGCCAACTCAGAGTGACCTTGTAGGACAGGTGAGCACTGCCCCTGTGGCTTCCGAGAATGTAACCCTTGATGGAGTACAAAGCCCTGTCTCGCTCCCGTGGAATGGCCGGGGGTTCGAGCAGCAGACCTTGTGGATTGCAGCCGCTGTGTAACCACAATGCACCACGGCTCCCTAGTGCAAAGGGGGCTACTCTGAACACGCCCAAGGCTGCCTCGGAAGAGAGGCCCGGTGACCTGCCTTCCGTGAAGGTCACAACTTTGACACCCCTTGGAGCAGCCCTGCTACAACCAACTGGACTGGGCAGCAGCTAACAGTAAGGGGATGGGGCAGGGGAGGGGGGATGGAAGCAAGGGTGGGGACGTCTCAGAAGCAGACGGGATGTAAAGAAGGCATCCGAAACGGATGGGCGGAGACTGGGCTTTTCCTAAGACAATCGGGTAAATTGCTGAGCTCCACAGCAAAGAAAATCAATCCAGAGTCTTACATTTTGCCTGAGACCAAGGTCTATTTCAGAGCAGCTTTGTAAGAGAACAGCAGAACTGGTAAGGAAGGACGTGGCCCTGGTTTCCGAATGAGAAAAGGCTTTCTAGGGATGGCAAGTTCAGTGAGGAGGGGGGTTTGGAGGGGGAAAGAAGCAGAAGTAGAGGAGGAGGGCTGGGCGTGCATACATATTCACACGATACATGCGCCAACCAGACAGGGCATTAATATGCCCCACTGGAAGCGTGGGTGCCCCCAAGAATGCGGGGGCGGGGAGAAAGTGGGCGATGGCAGGGATAGGTGACGAGCCCACATGGGTTTAAAGGAGAGAGATTAGCAGGGAGACTCCAGGGCCCTATTAGAAAACAGACCAAGTCGGGGGAAGGCCCGCCAAGACAAGAGGAGCCGGGGATGTGGGAAAGCATGCACCTGTGTATTATTTCGTCGCCAGAGAGAGGATTTGAGAAAGAAACCTCTTGAAATCCAGGATAGTGCCTTTCCCCCTCCTCGTCAGGGAACCGAGTCTAGCTGTGGGAATGTATGTTGGTGCCTTGGTGGCACGGTGAGTTAAGCATTGAGCTACCAACTGCTAAGTCGGTGGTTTGAAGCCAGCAGGCCCTCTGAAGGAGAAAGATGAGGCTGTCTGCTTCCATAAAGATTTCTTTTTTAAGTCTCAGAAACCCAAAGGGGCAGTTCTACTCTGTCTCACAGGGTCACTGAGTCAGAAATCATCTCAATGGCAGTGGGGATTTTTTTTTCTTTGGGGTGATCTGTGGGAGCCCTGGGCATGTAGTGGCTCCTTGCTGGGCTGCCAACTGCAAGGTCAGCAGTTTGAAACCACCAGCCACTCCTTGAGAGGAAAACGGGTTTTCTACTCCCATAAAGAGTGGCAGTCTCAGAAACCCACAGGGGCAGTTCTACCCTGCCCTCTAGGACGGCAGGGTGAGTTTTGGGTCTATGTTGGTGCCTTGCTAGCAAGATCTTAATCTCAAACTCCCAACCCTCGGTCAGTTCTAAATCGCAGGATGGAAACGTATCCACCAGAGAGAGGGTACAGATTGAGACCAGCTTCTAAAGAAGCCGCAGGTATTCACAAAGTTGTGGGTAATCCCACTGTCCTCTCCACTCTTCCCCTTTGACGAAGGGGCAAGGATCCCGGGACAATTGTTCATCTCGGTGGTTTACTTGATTGTTTTCAAACTTTAACTTGACACCGTGGCTAGTTAACTGTCACATAATTCATGCAGGGGTTCCCAAAGGCCTGTGGGGAAATGGAGGGAAAAGACAGGGACATTGTTCCAGGAACTCTTTGAAGCCCCACCTCAACCTGGCGTGGAAGAATTCCCAGAAGGTGTGAACAGAAGTCCAGAAGCATTGGGATAATGCCCACAAGAGGCCATGCTCAAAAAGGGAACAGTTGGGATCCTTATAGGAAGGCCTCAAAAAGTTCACGGAAAAATTCCATTATGTGTCCCTTCTGTTTTTCCATGCACGGACCGACCACATGAAGCCCTGCCCTGCTACGGGATGGACGTTGGAAACTCCGGTGTTCATGGAAAGAAGGCAGGCACACTGGGGCAAGGATTGCTTTGATCTTGGAGACACTAAACCACACTCATTGCCATTGAGCTGATTTCAGACTCACAGCGACCCTGTTGGACAGGGTGGAACGGCCCCATGTGGGCGTCTGAGACAGTAACTCGTTAGCGGAGCAGACAGCCTCGTCTTTCTCCTGGGGCAGGCTGATGGTTTCAAACTGCTGACCTTGAGTGACCAGCCAGTGCTTAAGCCCACTGCACCGAGGGCTCCACCTGACACACTGAGGCCCAAGTGTATGTAATCCAAGAGCTTTGAAATGTCACCGCATCAGGCTCTTTAAGACCCCCCCACCCCCCCACGCACCACACATGGAGCGACAGCTGCTCACAGCAGAAGAGCATGTGCCTTTCACAGCCCAGAGGGTGCCACGAGTGGAACTGACTTGACAGCAGTTGGGGCGGGCTGTGGGTATAGATATGGGGTGAGTGTGGGTGGAGTGTGGGTATAGGTGTAGATATGGGGTGGGGTGAGTGAGGTTGTGGCTGTGGGCGTGGGTAGAGTGTGAGTGAAGTGTGCGTGGGTGGAGTGAGGGTTGAATGCAAGTGTGGGTGTGGATATGAGGTGAGGCGGTGGGGGCATGGGTGGATGTGGGTTGAGTGAGGTTGTGAGTGTGGGTAGAGTATGAGTGGATTGCGTGGGTGTGAGGCGGTGAGTGTGGTTGGAGTGTGGGTGGAGTTGGTAACCAAGCTCACTGCCATCGAGGCCGTCGTCTCCTCTTCCTGTGTCTTTCACCCCCTGGGACGGGTCCCCGGACAGAGAGCGCCCAGTTCATCCTGGTGGTCCCTGCATCTAGCAGAGTCAGCCCCCGCTCCTGGGCCCCTGTTAATGGTGACAAAAATCACCCAGCATGACACCCGATGCTGAGCCGGCTGTCCAGAGGAAGGTTGCAAGCCTGGCACTCTGAGCCGTGGGGTAGGACATGGTGCCGTACTGGCCTGGCAGCCCTGATACGCAGCGCACGTCGCAAGTCCACCACAGACCCTCTAAGGAGCAGGGCAGCAGAGGGGAATGGGCGACCACGGGCTGTGTTCAAAGGGGAAGTGACTACGACCCACCCACACCCAGACAGCTCAGCGCCCCGGGGTCCATCCTGACTCACAGCCACGCCACAGGACAGAGCGGGACTGGCCCCGGGGTTTCGGAGGCAGTGGCTCACCGGGGACTTCATTCTGAGGCGCCTCCGGCTGGGTCCACCCAGCAAGCACCCAGCCAAGCACACGAACCATCTTCAACCGCCCATCAAAGGGAGCCTCACCAAACCCGTTGGTGTCGACTCCATCCCTGGTCGTAGCGGCGTCCTCCGGGCAGAGCAGCCCAGCCCCAGAGGGTCTCCCAGGCCGCAGGCTTCATGGGAGCGCGTCTCCACGTCTGTTTTCATGGACCGGCTTCAGTCAGCAGCCCGGCTGGAAACCGCCGTGCCACCGGGGTTCCTGTTAAAACAATGGCCGTAATCAAACCTTGCCACGAGGTCCGTTTCCAACGCATCACGATCTCACCTAGGGTTTCTGAGACTGCCAGTCTTGAGGGGAGCAGACACCCTCCTCTTTCTCCCCTGGAGCGACCGGTGGGGTTTGAACTGCTGACCTTGCAGTTAGCAGCCTGATGCCCAAATTGTGGTAAGTCGAGTGTTCCAACAGTTGCCCAGAGGATGGGCATAACGTCGCTGTTCCAACAGTTGCCCAGAGGATGGGCATAACGTCGCTGAATTGCAAATGCTGTGCAGTCCGTACAGTTCCCCCAGTGATGCCTGCTTCCCGTGCACAGCAGGTGGAAGGGAAGGCGGGTTGGTCAGGCTACCAGGAAGCAGCTGGGCTGCGTTCTTAAAGGGCATCGGGGGCGGGGGTGGTCTGGCCCCTTTGACACCACTGTCACCCGGTTCACGGCTTCTGTTCCTAAGAGCATGACAGGAGGTCACAGGGGAGCGTTTCCTGGGCCTCCTGTGGTGCATCACAGCCGGGAATCTGCAAAACCCAATTGTTGCAAAACTTGTGGAGAGCCTTGGCCAATTGTATTAGAGGCGATTGAACAAGTGTATTTGCTTTATGCAGTTTCCAGCAAGTCTCAAATGAAACGGGATTGCTTTTGTAGTCGTCATCCTTTAAAGAGAGTCATGAAGACAGTTCTCAGCAACAACAAAATCAATCAAATGTAAAGGGGCCAAAGGAGTCATGAAAACCAATCTGCTCACTGTCTGCACTGAGAGATTTGCGTCAGCGCCCAAAGTCGGCCTGCCCTTCCCTCTCATCATGGTCCGTCCCCTCCCTTTCGTCTGGGCCTGTCCGTCTCGTCTCTGTAGCATGGTTTCCACGGGGAGTGGACACCTGGAGAGACCAAACCCAATGCCGTACTCCCGGCCAGCCGCACGGTGGCGTAGCTGTCGGGGCCAATGCTCGTCTGGATGGAAGTAGCTTGCTAGGCCCTCTTCCTCGAGCTGCTGGGTGGGTTTGAACTGCCATCCAGCAGTCCTGACCTTAAGTCACCCTAGGAGACCTAGCAGAATTACCCCTGTGGGTTGCCAAGGCTGTAAATCTCTATGAGAATTAAAAGCCCCCTCTTTCTCCTGAGGGGTGGGTGGGGGTTTCGAACAGCTGGCTTTGCAGTTAGCAGCCCAACAACTAAGCGACAGTCCCAGCAGGCTTCCTGGTCCCCCCACTGACATGCCTTCAATCCCGAAATCTGGGGGAACCAGGACCACACCCAGAAGTCCCCCCTCTTCTATGCTCAGGATGATGGAGCATGGGTGGTGGGGTGTGGTCAGAATACAGCCAGAGGGCCAGAGCCAAGGCCACTGTGGGAGGACTGGTCTTCCCTGCTCCAGTGCCAGCCTCGCAGCCTGCAGCGGGGCGGGTCTGTGCTGAGAAGCTGCACCTCCCCAGGTGAGTTATGATCTATCTCCTTCTGCCTGTTCCCCACAGCTTCGAAACAACAAGGCCAAAGACGTCTGCTTGGACCAGGGGCCATTGGAGAACCACACAGCCATACTGTACCCGTGCCACGGCTGGGGGCCACAGGTAGGCCCCCTTCCCTATCCAGGAAGGGGCCGGGAGTGACTAGCAGAGCATTCCTGGGGCCCTCCTGTGGGGCTTGTTCTCCGTCCTTCCACCTGCTCTAAGCTTTTGAGAAGAAGATGCGGGCTTTTTGCCTGTCCCTAAAGAAGCCGGGATGTCCGTCTCTAAGTGGCTGCTGCAACATCGACATTCCTGGGATCAGAGTGGCCTTTTCTGATTGACAAGGGCCTTCCCATCACTTACCTGTAAGGTCACTTACCTGTATGCTGGCACTGAGCACATGTACTTCTGTTCCCTGGTCCTTTCTCCTTCCCACCCTGCTCTGCTTGTGTGTCTGGCTGTGTAGCCACCTGTACATGGTCGTCATTGCTGGACTCTGCGTATAATGGAGCCCCACCTGGACTGTGTGTATAAAGGATAGCCCTACCCTGCCTTGTAGAGGTGCTGTGAGTCGGAATTCACTCGGTGGTGGTAAATTTTGAGTCCAGTGTATCATAGGATTTACCGCGACGCAGGCGCACTTACTGCCAGGGTGGCCAGTGGCGGTCACGTCTGGCCGAGGCGTGCAGAGGGGAACTGCTCCACAGGGGGGGTTCACGGCAGTAGCAGCTCGCCAGGCCTTTCTTGTGAGGTAACCTTTGGGTGAGTGTGGACCACCGACCTCTCGGCCAGGTGACTGGTTTGCCCCACCAGGAGCTCCACGTGCCCATGATGGGGTGCTAACCAAATGTACCTGCCGACAACCTTGAAAACCAAAACTCCCAGCTCACTGCCGCCAAGTCGATGCCAGCTCACCGCAACCCCATTGGGCAGGGTAGAGTCGGCCCTGTGTGTTTGAGCCCATAACCCTTCACAGGAGTAGAAGGCCCCCTCTTTCTCCTGAGGAAAGGCTAGTGGTTTTGAACTGCCAACCTTGCAGCTAGCAGCCCAACTTGTAACTGCGACCCCACCAGAGCTCCTGTGTGACCTCAGGGACATGGGGTTTTCTTTCACTGCTTCCTGCATGAGCACCTGATGGGCATGTCCACCTGGAAGGACTGACCTTGATTCAGAGTGACCTTGACTGTCCCACGTGCTGCTTTGCGAAGAGGTGTTCAAGGTGACATCCCACCGAGCACGTGCATCTTCTCGGATGCCTCAGGAGTCCCCCAAAGGGTGCCTGGAAAAGGGTAGGGTGATTAGCTTAGAAGATACCAGGGGCTTCCAGAAGCATGAGGGAAAATCCCGCTATCCTTTCATTTTACTTATTCCAGGCACTGTCCCCCCTGTTATAATGGGAGCCTGGACTCCAGTGGATAACAGAGTCTTCGTTGATAATTGATGTGGTGTGTCCCAGCCCACAGGGATGGATTTCCTCTGGCTTCCAGGGTGGAGAGGTCACCAAGCACAGAGGCCGGGTCCTGAGATGGTCTGTGAGAAGCCAGCAGTCCACTCCAGCAGATGGCCAAGTTGAGATGGCTGGAGATGGACATACAATGGGGTTGGGCTGAGAGGACCAGCCAAGAGGACACAGAGGGTAGGAGGCAGGGCCTAGACGCTCCTCACACCACCTCTGGCCCTGTGTCGCAAGCTGGCTTCCAAACTGAGGTGCTCTGTTTTCTGTGTGACCATCCTTTGGGGAATTGGCTTCTAGCTTCCATCCCCAGCCTTCCAGACAAGTGACACATGACCTGGGCACTTGCGGTTGTGGTCAGCGGCCATCAGGTCACCCCGGTTCATGACAAGCACACGCTGCCGGCCCTACACCCCTCCCAGGGTGTTCCACTATGATCCTCGGGATTTTCGTTGGCTGGTTTTCAAAGGTCGATCACCAAGCCTCTCTTCCTGGACTGGACGTGGCCTGATCTGGAAGCCCCACTGAGATGGGCTCAATCTAACAGCAAGCCGTCACTGGTGAGCAGGTGGGCTGCACGGGAGATGAGAGATATTTTCATTCATCAGAAACTGGCCCGAAGGAGCCCCCTTTTCCTGGGAATGAGCAAAGGATGGGAAGAGGACCAAAGAAAGGTCTCCCGGATAACTGGGAGCTCACCTTGTGGTTAGCAGCCCCTCCACAGAACCCACTGTGCGTCAGCCAGCCACCTGAGCAGCTTCTTCAGTAGCATGGCAATACCATCTACCTCCGAGGACTGGCAGGTGGGGACTGAGCATGATGCCCCAGCCGGGCCCTGGACGGGGCCTCCTGACTGGAAGGTGCGCATGTGAACCCGCCACACCAGCAGGGCCTCAACCTGCCAGAATGGGGACCCATGTCGTGGTGGTCTGTTTGTTTTTTTTTAAACCAGGGCATCGTTTTAAGCCCTCTGTGCAGAGCTGGGCAAACAGAGCGAATCAAAGTTCCAATCACAAAGCAGCTCCCCGAAGAAGGAGCTGGCGGCTCACTTAATTAATGGGTGCTCGGTTGTAATTTATTATCCAGCAGCAATTAAGCAGAGATAAAGCCGGCGCAGGGGGGCTAATTTCCCATCTTGCCACATGTTTGTCAACAGGATAGAAGTACTTCCTACTCTGGAAACCTGGTTGCTGGAAGTGTCGGAGTTTGTCACAAGCCTTTTTTTTTTTTTCCCTTGATCTGGTTACGAACTTGGCCTAGACCGTAGGTTTCCAAACGCCTTCGGTCTGTTGCCCCATTTGGAGAGGGGGGTGGAATTACTCAGTGCCTCCCACCCTGGTGATGAAAACCGTTTTGCCCTACAGCCCATCACCCAGGACAAAGTGGTGGTGTTGTTAGGTGCCCTTGAGCCGGTTCGGACGCAGCGACCCGATGTACAGCAGAAGGAAACACCGGCCGGGCCTGTGCCACCCTCACCGCAGGTCCAAAGTCCGAGAGCAGTCCCGTCATCCTCGCCTGCAAGGAGCGTGCTGTGCCGCTGTAGTCTTCCCTGCAGATGGCCTGCACTCCTGCCAGTCCGTGGTACCATCAGGAACCCATCACAGCTCCACCAGTCAAACGTGCCCATCTTTCAGTCTTTCTGTTCACCGAGATTTAGACTAGCCGCTCACGGATGAAGGACCTCCTGTCCATCGGAGGGAAGCGTCGCCCATTCCTGTGCCCACGTTACCATTCCTGGTGTGTGGGAGCCCCTGGGGGAGGTCAGAGGACCTCTGAGCACCATCCGACCATAGGGGCTCATCTTTCAGCCCTGCGCAGGACTGGGCTCTGCGGTGCTCCGTTGGGTGGGCCTGGCTGACTTCAGGAAGTAGACTCCAGCCCGTTCTTCCTCATCTGCTTGGTTTGGAAGCTCTGTGGAAACCTGTCCGCCATGGCTGGCCCTGGTTCAACCCTAGAGGACAGGGTAGAGCCGCCCCTGTGGGTTTGAGACTGTCCGTCTCTACGATGCAGACGGCCTCGTCTTTCTCTCATGGGGCAGTTGGTGGCTTCAAACTGCTGGCGTGTGGTTCTCAGTCCGGCGTGTAGACCACTGCACCACACCGCCAGGGCCCCGCTAAAGTTTGAAACGCTGGCGGTGTCGCTCCCAGCACCACAGGAGCGGGCACACAGTGACCGGAGGGTTGGGGTGAGGGTATCTTCAGGGGGATGTGCTGAAAGGCAGTCGGCCACCTTGGAGAGGCATGAAGGGGCTTCGTCACTGTTTGAGAGGGATCTTTGAGGGGTGTCAGGTTCTGTCCCTAGGACTTTTTGCCCAGGGTGAGTCCCCTGGGCAGTGAACTTTGCACCCCTTTGCTAACTAGAAGATAATGGTTCAAAGCCACCCGATGGCTCTTCGGTAGGCCCACAACCTGCTTCCACCAATACTTATAAAAACTTCCAAGCTCTGCCATCCAGTCCATGCCCACTCATAGCCACCCTTACTGGACAAAGTAAACTGCCCCTGTGGGTTTCTGACACAGTAGCTCTTCATTGGGGTATAAAGTCTCATCTTTCTCCTGTGGAGCAGCTGGTGGATTCAAACTCCTGGCCTTGCGGTTAGCAGCCCAGCATGACCACAATGCTCCAGGGCTCTAGAAAGCCCCGGGAGCTCAGTCCCACCCTGCGCACACCAGGTCACCCAGAGTGGCGCTGGCTCCACAGCCAGGGTGTGGCCGACGTAGTTGCTGCCTTGCTGTCTGGGGTTAGAGAGGGAGGGACCAGAGTGCCCTCCCCCAGTTGTCCTCCTCGGGCACTTGTGAGTCGCCCCGCTTCCTCTTGCTTCCCTGGTTCATTTGTCACCAGGGGACAGGCGAGCGTCCTTTGATGCCCTAGGGAAACATCATCTGATCTTGGGCTCCTATGGCTTCATTGTGGCAGCGATGCGTCAGCTGAGCACCTTGTCACGTTGATACATTGTGTCAGTCAGGCTGCCGTGCCCCCACGGAGGGTCAGCCCAGCGTCTCGACAACCCCATGGGAAACATGGAAGCGATCTCTCGCGACCCTTGTTTTCCCGATGAAGTCAAGTAAGTCTCGGGGCTCAGGGGATACAGTGTGAACAGCATGGAGCTGAGGCCCAAGCCCATGTGGCCGCTCCGCGCTCCCCACGATCCATCGCGGACCTCTGGGATGGAGTCGACTCCCGAGGCTGCCACTCTGGACAGGAAGAGGAGAGAGCCTCATCTTCTCCCAAGGAGTTGCGGGTAAGTTTCAAACTGGCCACCTTGTCGTCTTCAGACCTGAAATGGTGACTTTGTAGCCCAAGACTTAAGCCACTACTCTACCAGGGCTTGGTTTATTCAAAACATATCTCGACGAATTTCTACTGGAATGCTATGGCTGGCCCTCTCTCTGTCACCCCTCCGACGGTGTCACCAGTGCAGTCTGAGTGCCCTCCCCGCCTGTTTCCGCTCGGCCCCCTCCCCCCAAGCCCGGCACTGGGCCAGGAGAGGGGGAGGAACTCAATCTCAGCAAATTGGTTTCGCTTCTAAAACGCTGGTGGGAAATTCTGAGAACGCTGTGGATAGATGTCCTATCGCTTTAATTTGAGCAAAGCCGCACCTCACTCTGAATTTCCCCTGGGGAAGACGATGAGATGATGGCGTGGAAATTCAGATGGGTTTTTTTTTTCC